GGGGTTTAATATCCTGTCATCCCCACAGGCGCATGTCATTTTGAAAAAAAAAAAAAAAATTATTTTTTCTTCCTAATCTGTTAATTTGTGTTCACTGATCACGGGAAAAATAATAAAATAATCGTAAGTGGCATATATTGCCCGCTATAGGGCGGGGAAGTCTGGTAAATTATAGGCACTGACTCAGCGTGCGTCCCAGGCGGTCTGTTGCTCGCAAGCTGTCAGGCCGGAGTTGCCACAAAGAGATAATTACCGAATTATTTCAATGTCTCTGATTGATTTTTCATAACTTTTTTGCTGTAATATTATTCAATAGTGTGTAGTTTGATATATTTATATAATAAAATGAGTGAATCATTGCTGTACTCAAAAATATGGTGTGCATATTGTTGATTCAATTATGTTCATCAATCAGTGAACAAATACTTTGTCGGTTATTACATTAGAAGCACAGGTTATATATAAGTATCTGCATGTTTTGTTCACTATAACGAACCACTAAGTAGCTATTATGAGTCAAAAAGTAACGAGGAGTGACCGCCGTTTACCAGCCAGCCACTCCCGCCCTCCCTCCAGTCATCTGACTCACCCACATTCTCCTCCCACAATAATGTTTTTGCTATAATTCACTATATACAGACGTTATATATAAGTATCTACATGTTTTGTTCACCATAACTGTACATCTAAGCTTGTATGGTGAGTAAAGGCACAAAGATGTAGCTACTCACACAGTCAGCTGATCGGCAGCCTCCCTCAAGGCCAGATGCACTATTTCTCCTCCAACAATACTGTGTGGTGTTATTACGCTATATACACACATTATATATAAATATCTACCTGTTTTATTCATCATACTTGTACAAATAAACTGGTATGGTGCCCAAAGACCATCGTGGTAACCAGTAAACAACACCGTCGTCTGCACGGTGGCGTCATGCAGACGACGCCACCGCCCTCACCAAAATGGCGGCTCCAAACCTTCTCTTGCTGTTTATACCCTCTATACACACGTTATATATAAGTATCTACATTTGTGTTCACCATAGCGAACCACTAAGCTGGTATGCTGAGTGCAGTCAATAAAAGGTGGCCACACATAGTCAAAAGACATCGCCACCACCCTCCCTCCCACAGCATTACTCCTCCCTCCATGGCGCACAGCGCTAAATATCACCACAATCCTGCTATTATCAGAACCCTGGTCAGTTTTATCACAGTCAGGGGTCTTCTGTAATAATATCATCGCTACATAATAGCATGAACAAGTATAATTTGGCATTTTTAGGCGATGCTGTGGTCACAAGCTGAACAGCAGTGCTGTTAGCTCATGCTGCGTGCGTCAGGCTTGGTTGCTCACTCAATACTGAGGCCAATAACACCCGGGAGTTTGGCCCACGATTTTTTTAAAAAATGGCGTCTGTTTACAAGAGCCCTGATGAAGGTGTGGTGAACCCCGTGTATCCGCGGGCTGTTTAAATCTTGCGTAGTACTCCAACACATCATATGACGTGATGCGCAGTTGACTGGAACAACGTCCAGCACGTCATATGACGTGATGCGCACTTTAAGGGTTAAACCACTCGACAAATATTACTCGAGACATCCACTCACACTTGGCTGGTCCTTATAAATCACAGGGAGGCACCTGGCTGACTTTAAAGCCCTGGGGTTTTACTAATTCCAATGACAAGTAATTTTAATTTGTGCGTGCCAGCTGCATTTGCACAGCACAACCAAAAAATTCTCTGTTTGTTCTGTTTATAACCACCTGAAGGATCGTCCTCACCACTATGAGCCATCATTTCTGTGGGAAGCATACGCCAGTACAAACCTGTCTCATCAGCATTATAAATTTGCTCTGGAGATAAATTTTGTTCCTGCATCGTCTCCGCAAATTTACTTACATACTCATCGGCACCAACAATATCAGCAGATTGTCTTTCACCATGCACTTTAATGAACCTAATGCCATGACGGGTTTTGAAACTTCTGAGCCATCCATCACTGTATACACACTTTTGAGTAATTTTCATTGCTTGGTGAAATTCACGCGCCTTTTCCATGAGCAGCCAGCCTGCCACTGGCTTCTTCGTCACCTCCCGTCTCTGTTTGTACCACTCCCACACTGCGTTATCAACACTCTCCACCTTTGCTTTACTTACTACCTTTCTATTTTGTATTGCTTTATCACTTTAACTTCTAGAGAAATAGTAAAAAATGATTGGTTTAGCCTTAAGAAGATCAAAAACAGTACTTTTACTAATGCCATATTCAGCGCACATGACACTTCTTGAGACACTGCTCTCCACCTTCTTAATTATTTCAACTTTCTTCTCAAATGTCATCACTGGCCTCTTTCTTTTACGTAACCCGCTTGTAGATGCTTTCACTGACACAATGCGTGCATTTGGGGTCGACATGGTGCACGGATGTTCCTTGATTGTGCTGATATGTAAAACAAAGTCACGAAATGAACACTCCAGTCTCGTGACAAATTCAAACAATGGGAACAATAGGCCGTGAGTCTGTGACGTCACAGGGTAGCAGGCGGCGCCCGACACGGTCAGTGGGCAAACTAAACCATCTCCCACACACCCACCCACCACCACGGGCCGGCACGACGCTTGGCTGACTGCTTCCTCACCCGAACTTGGTTCATGTAGGGTAACCCCAACCCTGGCCGGCGTGAAGCTTGGCGGACTACTTCCTACCCGAACTTAGTTTGTGTAACGTGACTCCCTAACCCCAATCGGGAAACTGGAAGTTTCGGATAACTAAAGTTCGGGAACCAAGTGGTGCTCTGTACTCAGATATGACAAAAATGAGGATCTTAAACATAATACAGGGTACAAAACACAATCGAATCTGCCCATAGTACGAAAACAGCATGTCAAGGATTTGGGAATAATGATGTCCGACGACCTAACGTTTAGGGAGCATAACAAAGCAAGTATTGCGGCAGCCAGAAAAATGATAGGATGGATTACGAGAACCTTCAAGTCCAGAGATCCCATCACAATGGTTGTACTCTTCAAATCACTTGTGTTGTCCCGTCTTGAGTACTGCTCAGTACTCACTTCCCCCTTGTGTGACATCATGCTCGTTTGCTCATTTTCATTTGGGGAGTTCTATCCTCTAGTTTGTCTATTTTATTTGTTTTAACTAGAACAGGAGTTTGTTTTGGGGGCCTTACCTTTCTGGGTGCCTGTCCCGGTTGATGGCAGATATAGAATGCTCCAAATCCCATGTGCATTTCTATAGGCCATTGCTCCTCGTGCCTCTCTAAGGGGGCCAGGTTCTGGCCATGGTGCCAGGTAGGCTTAAAACTCCATTCACACTGACTGATGCCAAAGTTTAGGGATATACATATCAGCCTGGATAGCTCCAGGGAGCCGAAGAAGCTCCCCAGAAAACCACAATACTCATTGAATGTAGTCACTCAAAATGTTATATGTTACAATATTAACAATGAAAGAGGCAATTACAAAAAATAGGAAACTGTGGGAAAACAAAGATTTATGAACTAGAAATAACCATGAAGGAACTGAAAATGTAATGTACCAGGAGCAACAAAGTTCTAGCAGATATTAGGACTGAAGGAAATAAAATGAAATTAGTGTATGATGGCAGGGAAGTGTGTCAACAAGCTAAAGGAAAATATTAAGGTAGTAGTAGAGGAAGGTAAAAATGCAAAGGATGCAACTAGAGAAACTGCAGTAAGATTAAAACAAGGAGAATGTGACAGAACAATGGGGGGTTAAGAACCAGCAAAATCTCTGAAGAAATAACCATAATGTCTGAGGTAAGGCAAGTAACAGAAGCAACAGTGACAGAGGCTGTCAGATCAAAGCAGGAATGGAAAGGTCATGATCAATTATTATATACAACCTGAGAGAACCAGAGGAAGCCACATGGCAGGAGATAAGAGATGGAGACCAGGAGGAGTTAAAAGGAATCCTAGACAAAATGCATGCAAGTCCGGTGGTTACCATGAGATGATTTTGGGGCTCAACATCTAAGCGGCCCGGTCCTTGACCAGGCCTCCTCAAGAAATATAAAATATATTTTCTATTTCTAAAAATAGAAATAAAAAAAAAGAGGCAACCCAGGAAATATAAAAATTTTTGTAGGATTGGGAGGGTCCAACATGGATGACCAAGACCAATGAAAGTTACCTTCCAAAGAGGTCAAGATGATGGTTACCATATAATCCGTGCAAGATGCTGGCAAAAGTCATCAGGAAAGAGGATTGAAGAACATTTGGAGAGAGTAAATTTTATAACGGTGGCACAACATAGCTTCAGAGGGAAAATCATGCTTAACAAGGTTCATTGAATTCTATGACAGGGTCACCAAAATAAAACAAGAGAAGGAAGGATGGGTACACTGCATCTTCCTAGACTGCCAGACAGCTTTTGATACAGCTCCTCATAAAAGATTAATACACAAGACAGAGCTGGAGAAACAAGCGGGAATAACAGGAAAGGCATGGGACTGGGTATGGGAGTACTAGATGAACAGGAAACAAAGGGTCATAGTCAGTGAGGATATGCTAGGCTGAAGAAGAATGGAAAGTTGTGTTCCACAGGGCTTTATTCCATTGCATTTTTTAATTTATGTAAATGATCTTGCAGAGAATGAGCTTGTAAATCTAAATGTCTGTAGATGTTAAAAAAGTTAATGAGGAAAGTAAAAACTGAAGAGGATTTTAGAGTGCTGCAAGAGTAGGCAGACAAATATCTGCTGGAATTCAATCCAAATACAGTACATTGTGCCAAACTTTATTTTCCTTCCCTTATAAAACTTATTAATTCCTCCCCTATAACATTATTAAATTTCCTCCCTTTTCATTACAAGCAAAATTTTTCCCTTAAAATAACAGAGTAAAAACCCTCCTCCATTACAGTAAGAAAATAAGGCAAGTTGCTCATTATCATTACAGCTAATGTTTATTACTTTTTCTTTACATTAAGTTCATTCAAGTTGTAAATACAAACGGGCTGATGCTTTGATGTCCGGGAGAAGTTCCTCCAACTGCCTCTGTTTGTGTTTTACCTCTGCAGTGAGTTGCTTCACTCTTGAACCCAACAGCTGGATCTGCACCAGCATGGGTGTAACCCAGTGATGACTGAACTAAAAGTATCAGTGAAATTAGTATAACATTATTATGCACATAAATAATACATTTTTATTTATAATATTTCATAATACAATTGAACATACAGGGGTACCTCAGTTTAAGAGTTTAATCCGTTCCTGGAGACAGCTCGTATTCCGAAAACTCGTATTCCGAAGCTAATTTCCCCATAAGAAATAATGGGAAATGAATTAATCCGTTCCTGACTACCCCAAAAACCCCACATCAAACTAAATTTTTATACCTAATTCATCAAAATAAACCTACAAAACTATGTTCAAGTTATTACTTACCTTGCTGGAAGATGGAAGATGGTGAGGAGGAGGGAGGAGAAGAGGTGTTACTGTTTGGAAGGGGAGTACCCTTCCATTATAACATCAGGCAGTGAAGTCTTCACTGGTATGCACACACTGGCACGTTTTTCCTGCATACCACTGAGACTTGCTTGTCTTACTAAGAATCTGTCTAAAGACACTTGTTTTTCCCTACATTTTAACACTTGTCTGTAGTAAGACATCACATTGTCATTTAAAAGGTCAATGCAACGGCTTGCTACAGCTTTATCTGGGCGAGTTTTTTCAACAAAACTTTGCAATTCTTCCCATACTTCACACATTTTCTTAACACTTTAGCGTTATCACGGCGCTCAAGAGCATTACCACTTTTTGTGTTGAGGTCGCACAGCGGACTCGCTCACGAGTCACGAGAAAAAATATTTCTATAAACTCTATTTGTTATGAGATCGACTTTGGGATAGTTTGAAAATGTCCGCCATGAAATTTCCGTTTTCTCTAATAGCAGCATAGCCTATTTGGGAGAACGGCGTAGCATTGCACCATCGAGGTAGGACCATTGTATTGTTGACACGACAAGTGTAATCGACGTAGTTTTTTATTTGGTGCTGGTCTAATGCATCCTTGTGTGACATTTTATACTAATGTTCTTATAGAACATTCTATTGCAAACACACTGGTACAAAAATGAAATACGTAAATCGAAAATTAATGTCAGGAAAGTGAAAAGAGTATACACTTTTCAGTGTTGCCACTCGATCGCCCGAAACGCAGCACTATTTTCTTAGGTTAAACCTTACCACTGGCTTTCTTGGGACCCATGGCGAGATATATAATATCTTTTATGGTCAAATGACCAAAAATCCAACAAAACACTGAAAATCTGGGTGAAGAATTGACGTGGGATAGTCACTGGGTGTGAGGCACTGGTAAACTGAGGGGCGAGAGGCGACGATCGCCATACCACCACGCGCTAGGTCGGCCTGTACGCGTATCAACAAACTCGCCTTCCGAGGTAACCCTCGCCTTCCGAGACACATTTTCCAAGGAAATCCTGCTCGTATTCCGAAAAACTCGTATACAGGGACACTTGTATTCCGAGGTACCACTGTACTGTATCAACAAAACATATGACTAGTAAGATATGCCAGAAAAAATAATCATTAAATTTGTTATGATCTCAGCCTGCAGGAGAAACGAGTCTCCCTCCTTGAGAGTTATTCATCAAGCCTGACCTGATTAGAAGGTCTAGCAAATATTGAGGTGATAACCCATATGAAAAATAGTATGGTGGATTCAATGAACAGTTTAAGATTATGGGCAGTAAGGAAATAGATAAATGACTGGCTAGGAGATGTGGACATTTTGCTGGAGGCGTGAGGCTCGCTTCTGGAGGGGCTTTGACCTCACTTGAGGCCAGACATCGCAGGGGGAAAGCCGCGCTCCGTTAAGCTCCCGCCAGAGGAGAACCCCTAGTGATATATCTCGAAGAGAAGAGAAGTGTGCAGACGTACCAGCTGTGGAATCAAGCTGGGAACGTTGTGGTCTCAAGTCTGGGTCGACGAGCAGATTATTAAACAGCCCAGAGACATTGTCGTGGGCCGTGGCAGCGCCCTGACCAAGCTCCGTCAGAGGGAGGAGCGCCCTCGATGAGACATTCTGTGGTAAGCACAATTTAAGCCAGTTCATAGTGATTGCTTGTAGTTGGTCGTGTGCCCAGCGACAGTAGCAATGTTTATTGATAAGTTAGACATGTTTTAATAAGGCAGAAAGTCTGAAATAAGAGAGTGGAGAGGGAGGAACACGGAGCGACGTCCGTCCCCTCTGAGCGCTGGCAGGCAACTGAGGGAGCCCGGCTCCTGACGGCGAAGGACCCTCCCAGCGTGAGTGAGGACCGCCGCCGGGCGAGGTGGAGTATGGACCCTGCCAAAATGGGGGAGTCCACTCTCACTGTATGTAGAGGACAGATAGAGGTTGAAGGCAAACATATTGTGTGATTATTTTTGTTTATGTGTTAAAGGGCAAACATTTTATTGGAGTGTTGATAGGTTGCAGGTTTGTGTTTGGAGAAGAAGTTGCTGAGAACTTCGAAGCCAGCACAGATGAAGTAGTTGATGAGACTCCAAGGTAGTGGAGCAGAGGACCTCGAGCTGTGAGGAGAAGCAATGAAGAGGAGTGTCATGTGCTTCTGTAGAGGTGGTGAAGCACCATAGTTGCTCGAGGGAACTTCATCGTGTAGCAGCCAAGAGAGCTGTGGAGGACCCTAGCAGAAGGGTGAAGCACCGTAGTTGCTCAAGGAAACTTCATGATAGCAGCCTGGAGGAGCTGCAGAGGATCCCGGTAGTGAAGCCCGGAAGAACCTGAAGATATCAGGGTAGCGAACTTCCAGAGGTGGAAGGGAAGTTCTGGTGGATTACTTGTAGGGAGTTGATAGTGTTTGGTTGTCATTAGCGTGCAAGACGCAGTGAGAGGTGAGTGATTGTTGGCATTCTTATGTCAAGGAGTGTTTTATACTGAAGTTTAGAGTCACAGTCGTAGGCTGGATTACCTACAGATGTATGCGTTCTAGGACTGATGGGGTGATCGATTGATCATTGCAGTGTAGCAAGGAACATTTATGCTGATATATGTTATTGCATTCAAATGCTGATTTTCTTTGTACACATTTATAGATACATATATATATTCTCTTGCTGATGGTACAACAGTGTATGTAGACTTGATCAACTTGAGGAGGTTGATAGTATCAGGTGGTGAACCAGGAGATAGGATACCACTTGATAAGCTGATGATAGAGTTCTGATGGTGTTGGAGTGCAACCTGATTGTAATATTATAGAGTATAGGATTCATTATTATTATATGTGTGTATGTATCGTGTATGTGCTTTGTCCAGTAAATGTATCCCAATTTGCTGGTGTTTGCCCTTGTCCTAGTGAGGCTTCCCAGGAGGTAGTAAAGAAGGAGAGAGAGAAAGAACCAAGAACCACTGCTGTGGACAGGGTAGAAGGTAATACTAATAAGTCAAAGGGGGATTGAGGAGATCATATCACCTAAGGAGAGAGTGGGGAGTCACAGCGGCTTGAGTAGGTGTGTGCACGTGACAACGAGGCTAAGTGTTGGAGCCGCATCCCCTAAATGTGTGACGTTGAGCCCCTCTCCAAGGGCCAGAAGCGCCTAGTGTGATCTCCTAGCGAGGTATAAGCACTCTACCGAGTTGTGGGTTGGGTTGTCTGCAAAGGAGGAACAACGACGACAACACCAACCAACCCACAGACTATAATAAATTCTAGTCAGAAAAATCAGAACTTGATTGTAATAAAATTCCCTTTTCTGGTATAGGAAGAGGCCTTAGTAGCTTCCTGAGATAAACTATACCAAATAAGTAATAGACATTTGATCCACTCCAAAAATGCTGCCTAGAGCCCTAATTCCAGAGAAAGTAGAAGCTAGGTCATTTGCAGAGCAGAACTTCAGTAGAAGCAATAGACTGCCAACTACTAAGACTCATTAACCCTTAAATGGCGCCTGGCTATTTAGCATGTGTCACCCACAAGCGCATAAAAAAAAAAAAATAAAAAAAAATCTTCTAAACCTGTTAATTTGTGTTCACTGATGATGGGAAAAATAATAAAAAAATTGTAAGTGGCATATATTGCCCGCCATAGGGTGGGGAATTCTGGCCACAAACAGGCGCTGACTCAGCGTGCGTCCCAGACGGTCTGTTGCTCGCCAGCTGTCAGGCCGGAGTTGCCACAAAGAGATAATTACCTAATTATTTCAATATCTCTGATTGATTTTTCATAGTTTTTTTGCTGTAATATTATTCAATAGTGTGTAGTGTGATATATTTATATAATAAAATGAGTGAATCATCGCTGTAGTCAAAAATATGGTGTGCATATTGTTGATTCAATTATGTTCATCAAACAGTGAACAAATACTTTGTTGGTTACTATACAATATACACAGGTTATATATAAGTATTTGCATGTTTTGTTCACCATAACGAACCACTAAGTTGCTATTATGAGTAAAAAAGTAACGAGGAGTGACCGCCACACACCAGCCAGTCACCCGCTGCCACTCACTCCCTCAACACCTCACTCGCCCACATTCTCCTCCCACCATACTGTTTTTGCTTTTATTCACTATATACAAACGTTATATATAAGTACAGTGGTACCTCGCATAACGATCGCCCCAAAAGGCGAAGATTTTGGGTAACGAACGGCCCGATTGACGTCAAATCGTCCTGCATGGCGAACGCTCGTTTGAGTAACGTCAACACCACATGGTGGGGTCGCGCTGTTTCTTGCACATTCTCAGACGCCTCCGACGATGCACATAAATTATGTTGTTCTTGTTTAAAGCCGAGATGTTGCAAAGCATTGACGTTTTTGTAGAAAAAAAGAAATGAAATTTCTGATATACAGTACAGTATAACAAATGTCAAAAAGGTTCGTTTGGTGTTCAGCAAGTAGACTGCTCCATTATAACAATCTTTCTTTGTTTCAAATGTGTTCCATTTGTTTTGTATTTGTCATTTACGTCTCAATAATGGAGCAGCCTACCTTACATATACTGAAAAAACCATTATGACATTTTCCTTTCTTCATATGTGTTCAATATTTATTTTTCATTTGTCTTATAGCAAAAGGTTCGTTCGGTGGCCGGCTGGTAGGCTGCTCCATGTTTTTTAAATAAAAAATAAAAAAAAAATAAAAGAACTGTTGAAACAATTGGAAAAATTGACAAATGCCATAAAGGTTCGTTCAGTGTTTGCGGGTAGGCTGCTCCGTTATTGAGACGGAAGTGACAAATACAAAACAAATGGAACACATTTGAAACAAAGAAAGATTGCCATAATGGAGCAGCCTACCCAACAAACACTGAACGAACCTTTTGCTATAACGAATATGAAAGACAAGGGCTGCTGGCTGGGTTAATACTGCATGAGCAACCATTTGTCGCACACGTGCCTCTTGCTCCCAAACACCTGTCTGACACAGTGTTGAAAGACTGCGCTCAGTCGGTGCAATTCAGATCCTATTGTTTGAAGAACATAGGGTCATAACATAGGTGAAGCAAGGCGCAATAAGGGTTTAACATAACGGTCGGATGCCAGTGATACAGCACCTATGAGGATGATACAGCGAGCGTATCCAGTTGTAGCTCTGAACCCCACCCTTGCCATCTCCAATTTATATAGATGATACATAGATGAATCGTTTTCTGCGTTTAGTGATGATGCATCTGATACAAGTAGCATAGATGAACAGTGTTAGCGGCTTCCATGGTGGTATTGTCCATAGCTATTTTCAAGAATACCTGAATCTCTTCCTGACTGATGGACACTCTTTGAGGCTAGCTGAATCTCTTTTTGACTGATGGACACTCTTTGAGGCTAGCTGAATCTCTTCTTGTGTGGGACCTTACAAAGCGATCTTTTCAAGACTACCTTACAAAGTGAGCTTTTCCCATAATCGTTTCAATACTACCTTATGCTTTACAAGCTTGGCTACATACCACCTACAAGTACTAAAACCAAGGGTGCACGCGAGTGCGTTATTTGCAAGCACACAGAACGATGAAACAGGAAGCGAAAATCTATCTGTAGCTGGTGCAACGAGAGCCTCCCTTCTTCCGGTCGGCGTTTTTTTTTTGTGTTTTTGACATCCAGTCTCAAGAACTGAGGTGTGGGTAGCCGGCGTGGAGGGTGTGGGGCTCCCCCCTTCCCCCTCCCGGGAAGGGGGGGAGCTGCGTAGACAGTGGCGCAGCGGCGTGTGACGTCACACTAGTTTGCTTGTTTTCTGTTGGGGAGTTCTATCCACTAGTTCGGCTTTTGGTAGCAATTTTAACCAGAATAGGGGTTTGTTTTGAGGCGCTTACCTTTCTGGGTGCGTGTTCCGGTCGATGGCAGACATAGAATGCTTCCAACCACACGGGGGCTTCTATAGGCCATTGCTCCCCTTGCCTCTGAGGGGGCCCGGTTCTGGCCGTGGTCCCCGGTAGGCCTAAGAACTCCATACACAAGACTGATGCCAAAGTCTGACATTAGCATATCAGCCTGGGATAGCTCCGGGGAGCCAACGGGGCTCCCCCCAGAAAATTAAAATTTAAATTTACTGGATTCCTATTTTGTTAGAGTAAAACTGAAAAACTTGATAACATTTATCTCAAAATACATTGTTACCTATTAAGATATTAATTAAAAATACAGCAAGTATTAAACTACTACACACAGTATAGTATTTACCTTTCTAGAAAAATATATAAACTGAAGTAAAATGCAAAACAAATCTTCATCAAATGAAACTAACCAGCTCATCTGAAAGTCGCTTCAATTCAAACTGCCATTTGTATGACAAATCATGTAGTTCAGAAGAAATGCTGAGGGTTAGACTCTCCCTGTTACCCATCCACAATACTTTGACATTCAGTCTGGTCAATTCTTCTAATACCAGACTTGATAACTCCTTAATGCCTCCCTCCACACAAGGGGCCCAAACCTTAAAAAAAAGAAAAAGTATTGAATGTAATGAAACGCCTCTGTCTGATTGAGCCTCGAAAGGCTTCTGGAAGTTATCTCACTGGCATGGCTTCTCTCTACCAAGTCACATCAATCAAAGGAACCCTATTTGGCCTACCAGTGACCATAGCCAGAACCTGGCCCCAACTCACTAACAGAGGCCAGAGAGCATAGAATTGTTACAATCACCCATGCTGAGAACAATCCAGAAAGTAAGCAAAGTAATACAAAAGCTGCATGGTTCACAGAAAATGAAGCATCAAAACAATCAAATGGCTATGCAAACAATTAATTCAAAACCAACTAGTTGACTCAAAACTAGCTTCAACCCTCTAGTTCAGATGACTCCCAACAGGTGGCACCCCCAGATGCTCCAGACTTCTGCAATGGCCATTAGCCAGTCGGGAGCAGGTAAACGATGAATCGATTCACCTAGTAGGGGGAGACAGAATCTGAACCACCAAGGATCTACCAGAAAGATGGGCATCATTACATTCAAGATTGGTTTTCTGGAGAAGCCTCTAAGTGTCTCTGAAGCTATCTAACAACAGAGAAGATGAAAATCATTCGAATGACCAGGGAGGAGGAGAGTGGCAATTACTCGAGTCGCTAGGATCCAGACAGATCTCCCAAACCACCTAGCCCAAAGAGCAGCCCATAATATGGCAGCAGACACAAAAGCCAAAATCTTGAACAACATGGGTATGAGGGTATACCACAGGTTGGCAAGGTGATAACAATACAGCATAGATAAACATGCCTGGAAACAAGGTAACCGAGTCAAAGAACAGGGCATCCACCGAATCAGAGTGGGGTGGTATGCAAGTACAGTAGTCAATCAGACACAACAAACGATGCATCCTCAGTTGGACAACCACAACACCAATCACTACAAAGAGCCCTCCAGTAGCCAGCCACCTCATTCAATGCCAGAAAAGGAGAAGGCTGCAAATGAATGAACAAACTGCCCACTAGGCATGAAACCACAGTTCCAACAAAAACATTACCTTAACCCCAGTACTGCACAGCCTTCACATGAGATGCAAGAAAAAATGGTGCCCATGGTGCACTAGAAAAAATTATTTCCAAAAAATTTGTTTCCTTTCTGCTCGTTAAAATATGTTCCCTGGTCCCAGGAAAGTAAAAAACCAGCGTTACATGTAATGAAACGCCATTTTCTAGGGGAGACCCTAGAGGCTTCCCAGAGCTATACCAGGCTGATGTGCATATATTAGACCGTGACAACAGTCAATCGATGGAGATCTTAGCCTACCGGGGAACACGAGCCAGAGCCTGCCCCCCCCCTCCCCCTCAGAAAGGCACGAGGAGCACTGGCCTATAGACACCCCCGTGTAATTGGAAGCAGTCTATGTCTGCTGTCAAGAGGCCTGACAGCCGAGTTGACAGCGCTTCGGATTCGTAGTTCTAAGGTTCTGGGTTCGATCCCCGGTGGAGGCGGAAACAAATGGGCAGTTTCTTTCACCCTGATGCACCTGTTCACCTACCAGAAAATAGGTACCTGGGAGTTAGACAGCTGCTATAGGTTGCTTCCTGGGGTGTGTAAAAAAAGGAGGCCTGGTCGAGGACTGAGCCGCGGGAACGCTAAGCCTCGAAATCATCTCAAGATAACTTTAAGATGTTTGCCATCTACCAGGTCAGGCACCCAGGAAGGTTAAATCCCAAAACAAACTACAGCTGGTGAAAAATTGCAAACCGAAAGCCGAACGAGCAGGCAGAACTCTCCAATCAAAAACAAGGAATTCAAGCATGACGTCACATCTGCGCAACTTCCCCCCCTCCCTAGGAGGGGGAAGGGGGGAAACCTCAGACCCCTCGCACCAACTATCCAACCCCAGTTCACAGGCCGAATGTCAAAAAATGCGAAAAAAAAGCTGACCGGTGGAAGGGAGAGATGCTGGGGTGCCTCCTGGTCTCACCCAGAAAATGGCGTTTCATTACACTTAACGCTAACTTTCTGTGGAGAGCCCCTCCGGCTTCCCGGAGCTACCTAACCAAAATAAAGGAAAAGAGAGCCTTACGCGGGAGGCGGTCGCCACTCGCTCCTCAACCCAAAGTCAAGAAACTGGCTGCAACCTGCGACCCAAGGCTGTGACAGATGCCCCAAAAGCCACACAAGGAAGGAGAGGGCCTGGAACGTTCCCGAGATAACTGATGGCCAGGACCCTGTTCGACCTCCAAAACCCCCGTGCCTGGATGTCAACCAAGGATATGTTCCCAAACACCATGGCGAGCACTGTATACTTCCATATGTCATGGGCACGAGGGCAGATCGCAGGCTGGATGGATTTAATGACATTGCAGACAATCTGAGACACATGAGCCCTGGAACAGGGAACCAAGGAAACCGGATCCACCCAAAGAGTGTCCACTGTCACAACCAGTGGCCCGCAGGTAGCACCGTAAAGTTGACACCAGACAACACACCAGACCGCATAAACTCACCTGCAGAACATAGGCACGAACATGTCACAACACAACGTAGCCGAGAAGATTCCGGGAGTACCGCCAGAGGAAGAAGGCCAGAGTCGCACCTGCAGGAGAAGAGTAGGGTAGAGGCGAATGAAGCGCCCCACACCCATATGCAGGGAAAACCCAGCGTCCACCCCATAGCATCAATCCAGTTGCTGGGTGATGCCCTGTAGATGCAGGTTGTCCTCAGCATCTACGGGGCATGGACTGGAGAGACGAGAGGAGTGAGAGAGGTGAAGCACCCGAGAGAAAAAAGGACGCGGAACACAAGCACTCGTGTACACCGTCCATAACAAAACAAACTCCCACAGCGCATGCGCAGGATGCATAAGGTCCGAACCGCACAACTCCACCCAGCGGGGAGAGCGCCAACAAGGAGTATAGCAAAATATTAGCAGTGCCTAAACAAAGCACAGAGAGAAGATATAATGACAAAAGAACGAGACAGTAACGAAAACCAAGAAGAAGCACGGAAGAGGACCAATCCAATCCAAAAAACCAGTCCAAAAAAGGACTGGAGGTAAGCCTCACCAGACGACGACAGACGTTCCAATAATACGGGAAGAATCGAAGACCTTCCTGAACCCCTGAAATCTCACAGAAGCAAATTCAAAATCACAAAGGCTCAAAGTGACAGTCGCACCGAGACCAAAAGTCATGCAGAACCCCGATAATAGGGGAACATAACCCCGGCATGACGGAGAAGTCCTGTCTCAGAGAAAAAGGGGGTAGAAACGGAGAAAAGTATCCACCGATAGGACAGAACCGAACGGACCCAAAGGGACAAGGATCCGAACCTGGGGAGGGGCCGACGCCCAGCAACTCGTACGCAGAGGGGGGAATGAAAAATCCCACTCCCCGTAACAGCAAGCCCCACTCAGAGGGTAAAAAACCCCAGTGGGGTCCAAAGGGGCCCGAAGTCCCCCAAATCAGCCCCTCCCCATCCCGGGAACCTCCACAGCAGGTCCTGGTTGATACCTGGTTGATACCTGGTTGATGGGGTTCTGGGAGTTCTTCTACTCTCCAAGCCCGGCTGAGGCCAGACTTGATTTGTGATAGTTTGGTCCACCAGGCTGTTGCTTGGAGCGGCCCGCAGGCCCACATACCCACCACAGCCTGGTAGGTCCGGCACTCCTTGAAGGAAACAATCTAGTTTCCTCTTGAAGATGTCCACGGTTGTTCCTGTAATATTCCTGATGTTCGCTGGTAGGACATTGGACATCTGTGGACCTCTGATGTTCATAGTGTGTTCTCTGATTGTGCCCATGGCACCTCCTCTGCTCTTCACTGGTCCTATTCTGCATTTTCTTCCATGTCGTTCACTCCAGTACGTTATTATTTTACTGTGCAGATTTGGGACCTGTCCCTCCAGTATTTTCCATGTGTATATTATTTGGTATCTCTCTCGTCTCCTTTCTAGTGAGTACATTTGGAGAGCTTTGAGACGATCCCAATAATTTAGGTGCTTTATCTCGTCTACGCGTGCCGTATATGTTCTCAGTATTCCCTCAATTTCAGCAATCTCTCCTGCTCTGAAGGGGCAAGTGAGTACTGAGCAGTACTCAAGACGGAACAACACAAATGATTTGAAGAGTACAACCATTGTGATGGGATCTCTGGACTTGAAGGTTCTCGTAATCCATCCTATCATTTTTCTAGCTAACACAATACTTGCTTGGTTATGCTCCCTAAACGTTAGGTCGTCGGACATCATTATTCCCAAATCCTAGACATGCTGTTTTCCTACTATGGACAGATTCGATTGTGGTTTGTACCCTGTATTATGTTTAAGATCCTCATTTTTGCTGTATCTGAGTACCTGGAATTTATCACAGTTAAACATCATGTTATTTTCTGCTGCCCAGTCGAAAACTTTGTTAATATCTGTTTGCAGTTTATCAATGTCTTCAGCAGAGGTAATTTTCATGCTGATTTTTGTATCATCTGCAAAGGATGACACGAAGCTGTGACTTGTGTTTTTGTCTATATCTGATATGAGAATTAGGAACAGCATTGGTGCAAGGACTGTACCTTGAGGTACAGAGCTTTTAAATGCACTCGGACTCGATTTTACTTGATAGACTGTTACTCTTTGTGTTCTGTTCGACAGCAAATTGAGCATCCAGCGTCCTACTTTATCAGTTATACCCATTGACCTCATTTTGTGTGCAATCACTCCATGGTCACATTTGTCGAATGCCTTTGCAAAATCTGTGTATACGACATCTGCATTATGTTTTTCCTCTAATGCCTCAGTGATTTTGTCATAGTGGTCAAGTAGCTGTGAGAGGCATGATCTTTCTGCTCTAAATCCATGTTGGCCTGGATTGTGGAGGTCATTGGTTTCCATGAATCTAGTGACCTGACTCCTGATCACTCTCTCAAATACTTTTATTATGTATGACGTTAGTGCAACTGGTCTATAATTCTTTGCCAATGCTTTGCTACCACCCTTGTGTAGAGGGGCAATGTCTGCTGCTTTAACCCTTT